CGGTTCTTTTTCATGGGGTGCGAAGATTTTCATATAATTGGCGGTTACCCAAAGACTTTGACGTCAGTTTCGTTAAATGATGGTGTATTTACTTTCTTAGGAATTTATTTTTATTTTTATAGTATTCTTTTTAGCCCCAAAAAGGTTGGCAGATGTGCACACAATCACACATGTTAAGTAGCTAAAACAGCCCACTCTTAGGGCGTCAATCTATTGCCCCAGCACGTATATCAGGCTACGAATCTGATATTTATTTGAGGCAAATTATATGTAGCTATGTTGAGTACGTATAATAATAAAACTCTTTACTTAGAAATAAAGCCTTCGAATTAGAAAATAATACAAATAATGTGCATTTGAATATGAACTTAAGTAGGTACCTTTAAAGTCCTGAATTAATTATTTACATTAAATTACAAACAGTAGAAAAATCTTTCATCATTTAAAATCTAGGCCGCACTCAACAAACCAGATAACAATAAGACAAACACTTACCTTTCGAAATAGCCGGAGACACACACAGAACTCACTAAAAATAAAAAAAGAACAATAAACTAATTCAAAATAAATTAAAACAGTGAAAACATTAACATATTTGACAACTACAGAACAGACGGAAAACTGAAAGCAAAACAAGATTGAAGATTGCGTCAAGTTTGTTTGCGATAAGATAGGATGAATCTTGTCATACTAGGTACCTACGTCGATAAGTGTTGATCATGATCATGACACCTAGAGGGTTACAAGAAGCCAGCCACTTGAAGATATCGTGGCGTTTCGCCATCATGTAGAAATGTCGCAGCCAACTCCCCTATGTTTTTATAATAACTATCGTGAGACATACTCAATTAACTAAAAAACTACGGTTACTGACGTGAATATACTGAGAAAAGGTCTACTAGTTTCGAACCACAGAGGGGTTCTTCCTCATGAGCAGCGTGCGCGGTCGCGGCGACGTCGCGCAGCTCACAACTCGCCTAATTAGCCATTTAACTATCGGCCTGAATGGTTAGCCGTTTGATTAAATGGCTGAGTCTGTCAAGCCGTTAGTTGAAGGATGAAGGAGTTTGAATCTTGTCGTAGTACATTGGTAAGTGTCGATCATGATCATGACTTCTAAAGGTTTACAAGAAGCCAACCACTTGAAGATATAGTGGCGTTTCGCTTTCATGTAGAAATATCGCAGCTAACTTGTTTAATTAGCCGATCAACAATCGGCCTAAATGTTTAGCCGTTTGATTGAATGACTGAATTTCTCAGGCCTTTAGGTGAAGAATAAAGAAATTTGAATCTAGTCTTACTACATTGCTAAGAGTTGATTATGATCATGACACCTAAAGGGTTATAAGAAGCGAACCACTTGAAGATATCGTAAATTAATGTCGCAGCCAACTCGTCTAATTAGCCATTTACCTAACGGCCTGATTGACTAGCCGACTTTTTTTTGAAGGGGAAAAATCATACAATTACTTCTCCAGCCTTGAGTTAGGCGAGAATAAGTGTCAGACTCTTACTGACTAAAAACCACCCCGTTCCTACTCCTGGTCTTCGAGCCGGAACCCCGGCTACCCAGAACTTCTTGTTCTAGCCGTTAGTTAATGGGCGAAGTTAAATTGTTAATATAACCTAGTTGCAATCAGCATTGTATTTGAAAGATTGCATTGGTTGGAATGATTTCTTTTGTTAATTTCGGATTCTACCCAGCCATGCAAACAATTTTGTCTTTTCCGGGGGTAATGCACTAAAGTGAATAAAGTTAATTTTCCGTCAACTACCAGAATAATGTAGCCACACAAACAAACTCTACAACCGTTTTAATATTAGATATGGTAAGATTATCGCAGAATCCTAATCATTCAGTTGGCTTAAAGTTATCAACGTTTTTACGAGCCTACTGACTTCCTTCATATTTGTAAATGATAACTACCACCTACCTATAACTGAAATAGAAAGATAAACTGCGTCAAAATATCCCAAGAAAAGATGAGAATTACATCATGTTATTTGATTTTTTTTTTAACAAAAACTTTGCCCCACTCTAGGATTTTCTCCTGTGTCGTGGGTGCGTTTACAAACATACAAGTTCACATACACATGACACCCAGACCCGGAACAACAATGTGTAGATTACACAAAGAGTTGCTCCATGCGAGAATCCAACCCGCGACACGTTGCGACCAATTGCACAAGCACCAAAAGTGCAGTCGGACTATTTTTTTTTTTTTTTTGTTGAGCCACTCCGCCACAACCTTGCAAAACCACTGCAACTCCTATAAGCCAGGATCTACAGTCGATGCAACACTGAAAACATCGGAAAACTGAAGTATTTAAAATCTTTTTGGATATTTGATAATAGACGTTATTTCCCAAAATTATGAAAAGGGAATTATGTAGGTAATTAAACTATTTACCTACCTATAAAACTAATTCTCAGTTAAAAAGTTCTTAGGCAGATATGTAATGGGGCCACTCTATGAAACCGTGATCAACCATTTCAGTTGTATAACCATTTAGAGTAGCTAACTGTCCAATTAATTACTACCAATGAGGTTGTAATATCATCCTCCAACCTCTTTGCTGCGTGATCTTTTTGTTTAGCTAGGATTGAGATTGAGGTCAACACACAGATATATTAAAGAATATTTCTGTGGGTCAACATCTAGGTATTAAATATGTAACTTAGGTTCACACATAGCCATAATTTTATACTTATCTATGCAGGTAAGTAAGATTTTTTAAGGAGTATAATCAACGAATGAGATCTCGCGCCTGGGTGAGGCGGTATGTAGGGCTAGTCAGACTCTGATGGTCTGATGGCTCTTTGAAGCCCGTGAGGTAAGTAAGATAGCCAATGATAATGAAGATTGTGGGTTTATAAACACACAATTTTACAGTCACAACCAAAAAATACTCAAAGAATTACTATTCTAGGCTACTCTGTAACTGTGAATTCGAACTTTAGAAGTGAACTCGATGGCATTCTCGTCTTTGATCGGGATTATTCATAGAACCAATGGCATGACTGACCGCCATCGAGTTCATTTCGATCTTTCGAAGTAACAGAATAGCTTGCACCGTAGTCAGGTGCAGAGTTTCAGACGAACGCAGGTGACTAGAAAAGACATAATAATCATTATTATTTTACATTAACATTAGCCTACTAAAGAATAAATACCAAGTAAGGAAATACCGAAAAAACAAACTAAATAAATAAATTGCTCTATAGCGTGTTCAAATTCATTAATGCGGCCGCGTTGCGACTATAGACAAATAGATGACATATAATTTTTAAATACACCAGGCGTTTATTATCTATCATGCATTTGTTACATGCAATCCTCCTTAGAATCATTAAATTAGGTCGGTACCTATGTTATTAAACACCAAGGTCTTTTCCATAAAAACCTATTGTTTATCTATAAAGTATTAAAACGATCTAAAACATTAAGCATCCTATTTAATGGTCAATACATAATAAATATAGTAAGCAGTTTGCTAAACCACACTAAAACCACAAAATCAAGAAGTACCTACTTGATTTATGAGTAAGTAACTAGAAGTATTAAGTAAGTTTGTGTAACATAAAATGCACACGATGCACATAAAATGCATACAAGATGAGGACTATTTCTATTTGCATCTCTTTGCGTGGTCGACCTTATTTTGAAAATATGATAAAGAAAGGATAATTATTTTATCTTAATTAAATAATATTATTTTTTTGTACAGTACCTAGAGTACCTACTTAGAGTATTTAACTAACTTAAATGTAACTATTTAACTAACTTAAATACTTTAAGGCTTACTAATACAACATACAGCTTGACAAAATAAAGTCTTTATTGTAATCATAAATTGTAATCATAAATTATTGTTATAAAAACTTATTCCAACATAAAGCAAAAATAAAATCTGCTATCCTTAAACTGGCAACACTGACACTTACATGTCAAAGAAAAGTGACATGCGGTTTACAGATTTCAGTATGAACGATTTTATTTTTCAAACTATTTGTTTTTAAAACATAAAAATTTCATGTGTAATGTCGTTATTCGATAACGCTGTTTTTAATTCCACCTTGTACGAGGCTCTGTATCTTCAAATCGGGGATACTTTGTCGTTCGCAAGGGATTTCTTTGATTCGTGTCTAACATCGTTACCTATTGAAAGTTTTCCGAAATCCATCGTTAATTTTACTGAATTATCTTTCTACGACGAGCTAGCGGAGGTATTATACTTCAACGAGTTCCAATTCCTGTTGTTGAAGACGTTTTTCTTGATTCTTTTGTTTACGTTGTTATTGATTTTCATTTCGTGGCGAGTGTACGGTAAACGTATATCTGAGCGGTTTATGAAACCGGGTGAGTCATTTATTTCGTTTGTTCTCGATATCTGTAATATTCTGCAGTTTTTACATAATGCACGTGAGTTTTAGAGGCCAATGTTACTTTATTTTCTTTGAAAAAACTGTTTGCACTTACTATGTATTGTTTTCCAATGACATAAAAGTGTTTTGATCGTTAATCTTATCGAAAGATAAGTCTTATTTAATTACTTAACTAATTAATAACAATGCAAACCTCTAAAACTTATTGGAATCCAAATGTCACATTGGACAACACAAGATAATTAACTATTCTCATGCTGATAAAATGATATTGTAAATGCCTATTTACTAGGTGCCACAGAATACAAACAATCCTTTTTTTATACTAAAAAAGGTGCATTGCAACCTCTTTAGACCAATAGACTGCATGTTTCTTGCTAAAACTCTCTTACATAATCTAGTTTATTTCAAAATTGTCATTATTATGGATCACAACTTAGTACCTACTTAGTCTTTTCCTCTTGTGGATTGTTCCTGCTTGGTCTATGCATTATATTAATACATGATGTAAAATTGCCCTACAAAACATTATTGCTAATTTTCCTAAACCAACATCTGTACATGAACTACATTTAATTAAATAAGGTAATCCTTTTGCCTTCCACAGCCACATCGGCAACAATAGAACAGCTAAAAGAAAGTGTATCAAAACTAAAACTACCCAAGGAACACACACCAAGAATCTAATTAAATCTAAGCAAAATGGCGGATAGAATAAAAAAGTTTTTTCAAAAAAAGAAGACTGATGCCAGGTTCAAAATGGCAGGACCTGGCCACAAACTAAGTGAGTCCACTCTTAGCAGCCAGAGTTCCAATGTCCAATGTTCGAAAAAGGAGGTTCCAATAAAGAGGTCTGGCTTGTCGGAAGAGAGTAAGGTTGCTGCTGAAGCTGCTTTGTCTAGGCTTCAGCAGAAAAGGGAGAATCCATCCTTTAATACTTCATTGGCTGCTATACAGGTTAGTTATAACTAATATCTAGATGCCTTTTATGGGCTGTGTAAATGGGTAGACTTATCACCCACCGGCAAGCAATCAGCACTGCCCATGAACACCTGAAACTGCATAAAGTGCATTTCTGACCTTTGAGATTAACTCTTCGGTAATTGCACTCACATGATGAAACACAATACAAGTGTTGTTTCATGCATGCTTATAAAAAATATCACATCTTGTGTTTCCTATTATTTCGGGTTGATTAAAATTAATTTATTAGTCTGTATTAAATAATTATAAAATAATAATGCCTTGGAAAAAAGGTTGAAATGTGTAATCAACACAAGTATTTCAGTGTATACATTTGAAACTTACTCAAAGCATGACCTACTTGAAATTTTTCAGACATCGTCAAGATGTAACTTTGTTTGGTTTTTTATAAATATTATGATCAAAAAAGTAAGTTTATTCACTTTTATAATTCATCTACTGCATGTAACAGTCTATATTGCTCGACTATTAGCTCTGCTGCATAAAACAGTTTGTCATGATCTCCACACCCGCCAGGCTGTTTGAAGATCACAGTTGAGCAGTGATGAAAGTTCCAGTTTATTAGAGAGTGGTAGATTATAGGGTGTCTGCTTACGACACCCTCTAATAGACTAGGTGTGATGACATGTATTCTACATAACAACATTAGGCCTTTTATCCCCCAAGGGGTAGGCAAAGGTGCACATTACGGCAGTTAATACAATGTAACACCCACTTTTTATGTTTTCACTATTTATGTTATTAGTTTACATGGGACTCCGACAGACTGTGCTACTGAGATTTTTAAATGCAGTAAAACTTTGCCCAACCCTGTAATCGAACCTGAGACCCCTTATCCGGCAGTCGCACTTACCACCACTCGGCCAACGAGGCAGTCCTGTTAATGTATTCTACTTCATCACGTATAGAAAGCTAACATCATCTTTTTTCTTTGTAGGCCCAAGTAAAAAAAGAACTAGAGAATGAGCGAGCCAATCAGATGTCAGAGGCATCTGCCTCTAAGTCAATGACTACACCATCTGAAATTCATAAGAGAGAGATAGAAGATGTGCCCAGGAACTATGCAGCCAGTGGCGTTTATTTCAAGTAAGTTCGAAACTTCTTTCGGATTGATTTTACTTAGATTATTACAATTATAATTGGGTACTTTCCTTAGTCAAAAATAAATTATTTCAACTGTTCAATACAAAATACAATGAAATATTAAAAAATAATAACACTTACATTAATTTATTTTATTACCAACTTAATTTTAGTATTCTTCCAGCATTTTCTTTAAATAAGTATGCTGTTTGACGCTAAAGAAACGTTACGTCACAATACACAATCTCGTACAACATTTATAGAAAACTGTCGTTTTTAAGTTCGAAAATAATATTGAATTTGATTAGTTGGCAAGTACCCAATTAATATACTAACGCCTGGATACTGAGGCCTTCGTAGGTACGAGTTTGTTCACGTTTGAAGTAACCGTAACGAGTACGCGTTCGGCGCTCTGATTGGTTGCTTCATTGGCGCCGGCCAGTCAGAGTGCCGAACGCGTACTCGTTTCGATAACTTTTAACGTAAAAGAAACTCGTACTAAGGCCTCTGATAGGTTGGTTTATTGGCGGCAGCCAATCAGAGTGCCGAACGCGTACTCATCTCCTCAGAATACTGAAAATCTACTCAATTTTAAATTGTACTTGAATATCGTGTCATCTCTGTCATTTTACAAAGAAGTTGAAGTGACAGAACTACTTATGCTTAAACGCGACTTGAAATTTAGTAGTGTTTCAGTATTCGTGCATAAAGAGCAAAAGAAAACAATTTGATTGGGTGTTAAAGACAGCCATGTATTTTAGTTCGAATATCTCTTTTCTAAACAAGTTTACTTATCTTAATGACATGTACCTTTTTAATATTCAAAAACATGTATTTCTACTTTTGTTTTGTTCTAAAATCTATTTTTGTTCTATTATATAAAGTCTCTTTCATATTAACTTTCTAACCGCATGATAAAAGTCTCGATCGAAACAATTTTATAGTTACGCACAGTACTGTATCAGTTTTGTTTTTCTTTATTTTGTTTGTCTCCTAGTATTGTATTGTAACTGTTACCTTGTTTGTTAATATGTATAATTGGTTTAAAACTAATAAATAAAAAATCACATCACATATCAACAGCCTATAAGCCAGTGGCCACTGCTGCCCAAAGGCCGCTTCTCACGCGGAGAACATTTGAGCGTTAATCATCACGTTAGCTCAATGCGGGTTGCCGATTTCAAACTTATAATTACAATTTTTTTCGTTTGTCTAAATAATACATTCATTTGTAGACTCCATGCTACTACTGAGAATAAAAAAAAACCAACCATATCAATCAGAGTGAGTCAGATTAGATTAACAGTTTATCCTGTGTTTCAAAGTTATAGATAAACCCCACATAGATGCTGACTGGGTCATTTGAATACTTAAACAAAATACTATTCGTTTCCCGGGTCGGCCAAAGTATTACCGGGTTTTTTTTTAATAAAATATCTCAGTAGTAGCACGGAGTGTGGAAATCGTGCCCGGTATAGGTATGGTAATAGGCTCACCCCCTATTACATGGGACTCGTAACATAAATAGTGAAACGTGGGTGTTATTTCTGTGTGCACATCTGCCTACCCCTAGTGCACATCCCGTCTAAATATTTATTTTGCATTATATCCTATATAATATATATATATACCCAAAGGTTGTCTGGTAGAAATCACTATCACTATCACTACATAGTATAAAACAAAGTCGCTTTCTCTGTCCCTATGTCCCTTTGTATGCGTGAATGTTTGAAACTACGCAACGGATTTTGATGCAGTTTTTTTAATAGATAGAGTAATTCTTAAGGAAGGTTTATATGTATAATACATGCATAATATAATAGAGAAACACTGATAAATTTAGAGGTTTCTAATGTGATGTCGTAAATCAGCACGTTTTTTTGCGCTTATATTGCAAACGCTGGCTCTACCCTACGAGATAGAGCAAAATAATGTACAGTATTGACCACCTTAAAAAGTTCAACAAAAAAGTCTGCGATGGTATATATGTCTATCTATTAGGGATAACCCACCATAACCATTTTTTATCCTTTAAGTACTATCAAAGGTTATTTACGTAGTGATTTTAAACAATACAGCACTAATCATTATCCAATTAAGTACTTTAAATAATTGGTGCATTTATCATAGATCAATATGCTTTTTACAGCATGTAATTTAAGTGAATATTTCCGAAGATATTACAAATTTAAAATGCAGGGACGTATTTGTTGCGGCGTTGATGGCCGCGCTTCGTCCTAGAGCACTTCATGACTTGCAACGACCGCACGCGTTTATCGGAACTCTCTAGCGAGGAAAATATCAATGTAAAACATGTTTGTATTGTCTAATGACAAAATAGCTGTGAACGTGGTGTATAAGCTTTTACCCGCGGCTTCGCTCGCGTCACAAAAGGATAAAAAGTAGCCTATGTGACATATACCAATACACACAGCGCCATCTATACCAATACTTTTGTTTTCCCTCGGGAATATCAAATTTTTCCGGGATAAAAAGTACTCTATTATTTAATCCGGACTTCTAACTTTACGTCTGCAAAAATTCAAAGCAATCGGTTTAGTAGTTACGGCGTGAAAGCGGAACAAACAAACTCACTTTCCGATTTATAATATTAAGTAAGGATTTTGTAGTAGGTATTTTTACATATTTATTACACCCGTGCGAAGTGGTAAGAATACCATTGTGCTCATTATTGTTTTTTTATGTTTGTCATGTCCTTTTTCTGTATACATACATAACATCACGCCTTTTATCCTTGAAGGGGTAGGCAGAGGTGCGCATTATACGACTGTACAATGTAACACCCACTTTTCACTATTTATGTTATGAGTCCCATGTAATAGGGGGTGAGCCTATTGCCATATACCGGGCACAGTTCCAGACTCCGTGCTACTACTGAGAATTTTTTTTAAAAACCCAGTAATACTTTGCTCGACCCGGGAATCGAACCCGAGACCCCTTGCTCGGCAGTCGCAATTGCGACCACTCGGACAACGAGGCAGTCTTTTGTTTTCCCTTATTCTGTATGTACTATATTATTAATGATGTACAATAAAGATTATATTATCTATTCTAAACTAAGTATTGTTTGTATCTTACATACAGATGCACAGAATCTAGATATTTTTATACTGCTTTTAGCGATTCCTGCGCGGTTTTACCTGCTCTGCTCGGCTCATATTGATCGTAGCGTGATGATTTATAGATTACTAGCCAGTAAAATGTGGCCTATCTGTTATTGGGAGTTACTTGCACGTTCTTCTCCATTCGAATCTCCATTTTGGAATGAGCACCTAGCTTCACTGACGTACTGACCGACAGACTATAATTTATTTTGTAATTGTTGACGATTTAAAAGTACCAAATTATGGTTCATTTAAAATAAATGCTTTAATTTTCACATAATCTACCCCTGTTCCAAATTTCATCTCGGTCCCTTCAGCCGTTTTAGTGTGGAAGAGTAACAAACAAACACACACACACACACACACACACACACACACACACACACACACACACACACATACATACATCCTTACTATTAGTAGGATATACTTACTCGATGATTGGACTATCAAACAAAAATACAATTATTTAATACTAGCTTTTATCCGCGGCTTCGCTCACGTCCCAAAAGGATAAAAAGTAGCTTATATGACATATACCAATACACACAGCGCCATCTATACCAATAATTTCGTTTTCCCTCGAGTATATCAAATTTTTCCGGGATAAAAAGTACCCTATTATTTAATCCAGACTTCTAACTTTACGTCTGCAAAAATTCAAAGCAATCGGTTTAGTAGTTACGGCGTGAAAGCGGAACAAACAAACAAACTCACTTTCCAATTTATAATATTAGTAAGGATGGACCAAACATTTGCTAAATTTACATTACATCTTCCAGAACTGATGTATTTTTCAATCTGTTCCAGATGTCCACTGATAAGTAACGATATACTTCCCCGGGATGAATGGAAGAAGAACATCAAAACGTTCCTGTACGAACAGCTGGAGGAGGAGAGAGGTCTCACTGCCTGTCTCATTATACAGTCCTGTAATAATAATAGGGAAAAGGTAAGTTCTTAGAAAATAGAGTTTTAATGCAAAAGGGATGCGATCAGCGTCTCCCACGAATATTGGCAAAACCAAAAGATCAAAGCAGAGCATTTATTTCAATGAAACAATAATTTGGTACTTTTGAAACGTCAACAAATATAAAGTAAATAATAGTCTGTCAGTCAGTACGTCAGTGAAGCTAGGTGAAGCTAGGTGCTCATTCCAAAATTTAGATTCCAATGGAGAAGAACCAGCAAGAAACTCCATTCGTTACTCTTTTTAAAAAGTATGTTCTACAATGTCTCTGATACATATTCCCATATTGTATGTATATGTGAGAACAATGCGAAGACAAGCTTGGCGCAATATAGGTACTAATTAGAAATCTTAATAAAATAAAAAAAACTTAATTATAGTCTAACATGGTGCTCACATAATTATGCATACTGACAATTAATAAAAATAGTGCTTCTATACAAGAAAAGGAAACTCTTTGTTTCAATAAAGAAAGAAAGAAAGGTTTACAAGTTCTTTTGAGAATTAAGGATTTGGAGGTGTGAAAGAGCCGAATGGCTTCCGGTAAGGTCTTAGACGCTGGTTTTTCGGGCCTATGCTGTTATAACATAATTATTAGCTATTACATACTAACCGACGAGCTTGCATGAAAAGGCAGACTGTTGAGACGGAAGATGCATTTAAGAATTGTAGCAATTGGCGTTCCATAATATCTGCCTACCCCCATGGAAGACAGGCGTGAGGTTATATATGTATGTACTAGCTGTCCCCACGACTTCGTCCGCGTGGAATAGTGATTCACAGCTCCTCTCCCGTAGGTGATAGCGTGATAATATATGGCCTATATGTTGACCCGACCTGTTAGTAATATTCATGCAAAATTTGAAGTAAATCCATGCAGCACTTTTTGAGTTTAGCCCTGACATACATACAGACAAACAGACAAAAATTCTAAAATCCATATTTTGGCTACAGTATCGCTTTTAGATCACAACCCAAGCATTCTTTTAAGAAAATATTCAATGAACAGTTTTCACTTTCCTACGTACGATTTTATTATATGTATAGATGCATAAATTACATACTAATGTTCGTTCCAGGTTGACACATGCGTGGAGACATTATGCAAGTACTTAGAGAACATTATAACGCAACCTGAAGAGGAGAAGTTTCAGAAAATTAGGATGAGCAACAGGTCAGTCACCTTATTAACTCACTTTGGGTAGGTCGACCTGTAACGTACTACCTATCCATCTCCATCATATAGATGGTTGGCAGGCCACCACTGTGCGCTTCTCTCGTAGCTTTCTGCCGCCGACGACAGATCATTCCACAGCAAATCTGTGGAATGATCTGTCGTCGGCGGTATTTCCGAACCAACACGACTTTAAAGAAAAGACCGTTTTCCTTTTTAAAAGGCCGGTAACGCAGCTATGCCTCCTCAGGTATTGCGGGTATCCATGGGCGGCGCTGATCGCTTACCATTAGGTGATCCGTCCGCTCGTTTGCTTCCTATTTCATAAAAAAAAAATATAATAAAATCTAAGAATCTAAATTAACACTTCTAATTGTTGTATCATTATGAAACTTAGCAATTTTATCGGATTTGATAGTGAAATTGGAAGGTAGCTAATGGAACCATGGACTACCTAGGAAAAATATATATTCCGCTCATCAGACATGACCATTTCTACTGATGACGAAGACATATTATAGTCAAAAGCGTGCTTTTCGGTTTTTTTTAACCAAGAATTATGTTATTATTTTTAGAGTATTTGCGGAACGAGTCCAACCTATAGAAGGTTCGATGGAGCTGCTACTAGCGGCAGGCTTCATACAACAGAAGGTTCCCAATGCAGACGGGATGGAAGAGGATTTCCTCGTATTCCAGAAGAACAATGTGCCCTCTGTTGAGAGTCTAGTGGTAATTATGTTGCTGTTTATCTATTACGTCAACAGCTAGTATCTACTTCTAGAATGTGGACATCTTCTACAAAAGATGAGTTAATAGGGATGATGACGGAGTATGAAAATTAAAAATCTATTTAGTCCGTCAGGTAATAAGAAAATATTAGGCTCATAGTTACTTTGTAATCCACAAATTGTTTGTTCCTCGTCTGGGTGTTAGGCTCTAGACAGACGGACCGCATTTCAACTGCAAACTAAACGAGCAGTCCGATTGCAGTTCTATTGCAGCCATGAACAAACGGTGGCAAACCAAACGAGCAGTCCGATTGCAGTTCTATTGCAGTCATGACCAAACGGTTGTAAACCAAACGAGCAGTCCGATTGCAGTTCTATTGCAGTCTTGTCAACTGCGTTCAGACTGCAATATTTGCAGTTGAGTTGCAGATGAATTGCGGATCGTCTGTTCAGAATCTTAGGTGTATATTTTTAAACAGACCCAGTATACACGAGAAAATCGGAGTTTTGTCAAATGAAAGATTGTAGTATTTGATTATATTGATTTTTGAACACGTATGCCTGAATACTGAAAGACTACTCAATTTAAATTTGTACTTATATCGTTCCATCTCTGTCATTTTACAAAAATGTAATAGTGACAGAACTATATTTAAGTGCGGCTTATAATTGAGTACCTTTTGAGTATTTCAGCGTAAAAAATATAACTTTTATATTTTGTTCCAGACCCTTATAGACGGTCTAAGAACAGCAGAGCCGATACAACTCGAACTAGACAGGAACCTCCAAGTATTGCTGCCGTCGCAGGCCGCTAATAAGGTGCAGCTGCCACCTTCGTTCTATGCACTGTCCCCTGAGGAAATTAAGAGGGAACAGCAGTTGAGGTAAGTTTTAAAAAGGTTTATATTTTTCA